GTGTATACATTTTCTAGGACTCCGTACAGCAGCCCACATTGCTGCACACATTAATGGTGCCAGTGGCAACCTCAGCCAGTCTCAATGTGAATTTAAGCGGTGCCAGTTCAAATATCTCCTCGAATTTGGTTACAGATGGTGCCGCCGGCAGCACTGGTAGACATCGTCGTCAATCATCGGTTAATGTTGTGTCGTGGAATGAAACGGTTTCGGTGCAATGTGCACCCGATGAAAATACCGATCCCGCTGATGAAGTAGGCTTTGAATATAAAGCAGGAAAGGGTATTTAACAAAAGGGATATTTTGAAACTCATAAAATGCTTTTTTGCTAAGTCGGTGAATATATARATTTTAGACCATCGATATCCTAAATATTTGCTGGTGAAACTGCGATGCAGAATACCGTCTCTTATACGGTCTCTTATACCGAAAAGTTCTACATTATCTAAATATGTATCGACAAAATATCCGCGTAAAACTCGTTTCAATTGCGTTCCGGAGACCTATTATTGTTGTAATATCGGCTTTTTAGCTCTAAATGTTGCTACTGGCTACAAAATTATAGGATTTCCTGAACGCAGGGGGAATAGAAACTGACCTAAAATGGGTCCATCTTGGAAATCTTGTCCTCAAGCATTGCGAAAGCAAAAGCATCAGCCATGATAACAGAGGGAGTGTTTTGACGGGTATACCACTCACTTAAATGACGATCCTTATATGGTACGGAATTTGTGCTAAGGCATTTTAAATTATTATTACGGGTTATAACCCTTTAGTTGATAATTTTAGTGAACATTCGCTAGTTCTCGACTTTAAGGGGCATATAAATTAGTCATTTTCATACGAAGTCCTTCAGGTTCACATAGATAGGTTGTTGTTCTTGTAGCGGCAGAATTCTACCGTGTTAACAGTCCTTTAGCGGATAAAAAATCCTGATCGGTACCGGTTAAATAGACCCGACAGTCGTGAAAACGGCCGTACGGATACATAACTCGAAATATATGCTAAATAACATTCACGAAGTTAAAAAAATCCCTTTTGTCAAACACTTTTCCCCTCTGACTGCCTGTTTAGACCAAAACACTTCGACATTTCTCCAATTAATAATAAAAATCACAATTTTGCCACGCAGCCTTCGGTGGAGGTGCCCGTTACAATGCGTGAGAAGTCGCTGCATCGTCGTCACCTCAGTCTCGGCAATGCCACATACCCGTTGGATGAGGAGAGCATGCTGCAGAATGGCAATCGCCGCTTCAGCAATGTGTCTTGGGCACGTGATGCCGAGGCGCAACGCACCAAAATGCGTCCGCACAGTTGGGGACCCGTTGGTACGGCCTATTATTTGGATTCGTTGATGGGCGAAGCCGTCGATACGACGCTGCATGGACAATGTGAATTGGAGTTGAACCTTTTTTTTCTCTTATTACCCGCTAAGCATACGATTTTTTCGAATTTAATTAAAGTACTTTTGTAAATTGTATATATTTAGCAAAAAATGTGTGAWGATAGACAATAAAGTTCACTTAATTCAAATGAAAAACGAAGCACTGCATTTTGTAAATAACACGAAACAAGTTTTTCCGAATGCCAACCGTCGTTTTATTGCGTAATTCGCTACACTGACTAACAAAAATGCTGTACAAATGTAAAAAAGAAGTGTGTAAATATTTTAAAGCATTGCGTGATGCTAATATTTTTCTCGCAAGTGTGTCGTAGWTGAAGCGTGTTGTAGGTGGTTCGTCTTAAAAGTTTGAATTTCATATTTTTTTTAATAAAAATTCTTAAAAATTATGAAAGCTGTATATGCGTAGACTTTTTCAATAATTTTTTTTTATATAAAASAAAAAAGTGCTGCTACTAATCTGCCACAAAGGTGGCTACGCAGCAAACGCCTTTATACCGCCAATTGTGTAATAAGCCTGGCTTCCGTAGTGTACTTTTATTATCGCCGTCAGCACATTTTATTTTGCTTTCCGGCATCGTAGTTAACATTAATTATTTAAGTTTCATATTCAATTCATTTGTTTGTATGCTTATTATGTTTATTTTTTCTTTGAATATTTTTTTTTTTTCGAATACTTCTAGAACATGGTGCTCCGAGCAAACCGAACAAACGGAAAGAGATTAAGTTACACGGACCTGGTAAAACCCATTTATTTTATACTCGCTTAAAAATATTAAAAAATATTCATTTTATATCTACACACAAATATTTATTTAATTATATGTTTAAACGATGTACTTCTTGCTATTATGTTTATTTTAGTTTAGTCCCCTCTTCGTTTATGCACAAATTGCTTTTTACGTACCTGAATTCTCATATTATATATATACATATATATATATATATTTGAAAATTTTTATTAATATTTTATCCTAAAAAAAATTGGCAGACCATTCCTGCTTGTATATATAATATGTACCTATGCGAGTTTTTTCTTGTAAATATGTATGTATATGTGAATAAGCTTGCTTTCTTCCTAGTTTATCACTTCTGTGTTATACGAGTATTTTACTTATACCCTTATACTCTTTCGTATGTATGTATGCGTCTGTTATACTATTTTCTATAGATTTATGTGTGTATATGATGTTTGTGTCTCCGATTTTTCCCCTATTGTATATATTAGCCATATATATTAGTTATATTATTAGCTATGGAAGTATTTTTTTCTTCAAGTTTTTTCTGATTTTTTTTTTATATAAAAAAAAAATGTCCTAGAATGTTTCAAAACTTTTTCATAAAATATTTATATATATTTACTTTTATGTATGTACATTTTTAATTATTGCATACTCTTAATTATTACCTACCTTTAATGGTAATATTTTTAACTAACATTTAAAGTGTAACCTCTTTTAATTCTGAAAATACCCTCAAACATACAATACAATGTTCCTTCATCACGCATATAACAAAAATTAATCTTGGCATCATATACTTTTAGATTAGATTTTACCAATAGCTATAACTAGTCTAATAACTATTTCATATTCCTTCATCACTCTTTTAATAAATATATCTCGCCATCATATATTTTTAGGTTATGTTATACATACTAATATTCAGTATAAAGCGATTCCGTTTTTTAATGGTTTTTTGAACATATCATGAATCTTATTCACTCAAGTATTCACATCTTAGTTTAAAAGTATTTCTTAGAGCTAATCAAGTTATTTTAGTTTAGCCAAAAAAATTTTAATAGCACTCCAATTCAATAATAGTCATTTATGCCAACTTTTTCTGTTAAAAGCAAAACCTCATGTGTAAATGTTAACCTTTCATGATCTGTTTCTCAAAATATTTAAATTTATAAAAGTGTAAAATAGTAGAAAAYGTCTTTTTTGTAAAGTTTTCTTTCCAATATAAGTTCTTGACCTTGAAGAATATTATGCTTATATACTAAGCATTTATTATTTAATTTAGATAACCCTTTGTCAAGTATGTAGTCGTGTCTTAAGTACACCAAGAAGAAATGCTCGTATAGAGTTTTATTATCATTTTTCCACCAATTTTGTGTGGTTAAAGAAGCATTCACAAACTTACCCTTAAAAATACGTGTCAAAGATCCAGCGTCTTTTAATGTTTTGAGTTGCCCGAAGTCTTTGCTCTTAAATACGATCTTAAATTCTTATAATCCTAAATTCTTATACAATCTTCAAGCTGTTTTTTAACTTCATCGCAGATGTATTTTCGTAAATGTTAGACTATTGGTTAAGCTTAATATTATTATTTTTTTTTTTGCTGTGAAATGGCAATTCTGTGTTTTGAATATTACAATGAGTGATCCATTACGAGGTTCCCTGCTTAAAMAAAAAACACAGAAACTTTAAATTTAATGAGGAATGTTTATTATCATTCGAAAGAACATTATTTGGCATTTATTTTTTGAAGATTATCTCTTTCAAATCTTGATCGCACCTTCGCCTCAGATTGTCCATCCGTTG